TTGTTGTTTTTCTCTGTCATGATCACTATGAGATATTGGAAAACATATTGCAGGGACCACAGGTTTGAAAAGAAAAACTTTGTGCACTTTGAAAAACACCTGTCTACTTAAAGTCGATATCATCCTAATTTGTACCTCTTTTTTTCACTCTTCACTGTAAGAATATGTTCCTATCAGTCTAATCAGAGCACTGCTCCTTCTCTGTTGCTAAGTTGCTCCTCTCAGTCCTCGTGTCTGTACTTTTAGTCGATTCTGAAATTTTTAAAAAATATATAACAACAAACAATTTTAAGATTTTAACTATAGACTTGATTATTGTCTGTTTTGAAAAATATCACTTGTTCGGCCGGAGAAGAGTTTCATTTAACTTATTCAAAGAAAATAATCCTACAGATATGTTCCAAGGAAGTACAATCAGCCGACGTTTTAGTCGATATACCTTCTTGTCAATTTACTCTCACAGACTAATAAAAAATTCAGAATTTTGCTTTCTCCACAGCGTTTTAATTCTATCAAATTAAAGAAAGGCAATGACAAACAGCGGATAAGAAACCATTTTCAGCCTATTAGCGTTAAAGTGAGAAAAAAATCCCGTCAATCACAAAGTGGTGTTAAATTTAAGGCATGTCACATTTAGTCACGTCATATTCTGATTAAACATCAAACTGATGGGCAAAAAGCAAGCAAACACCGCCTTACTCTGGTAAACTGAAAATATACTATGCATATTTTTTTTTTTTTTGTTCTGTCTGTAAACACAGCCCTGTTTTTAATCACAGAAAAAAAAGGCAATAATATTCTAGATAATCCAAAGTGAAACTAAAAATAAATGACAAAGCAAACTATATTTTTGATTTGCAAAATAAAGAGGGTATAGATTTAGGTTTGTGGAAAACGTGTTTTCATATTCATTGTTAAAAGCGAGGATAAGTTGTTGTAAATTGGTTGTTTAACTTAGTATATACGACAATCAGGTTAATATTTCCTAAAAGGTAAAGTTTAATTGGTTCTTCACAAATTCGTTGCACTTCATGCATTTCTGCCTTGCCGTTTAATTTTCTTTAGAAAAGAAAAAAGCAATATTCAGTCGGTGTACTTGATTCCAATGTAAAATTAAAAAAAAAAAAAATGCGAGAAAACCATTGAAGCTCTTTAGTTCACAAAATTAAAAGGGTGTAAAATCAGTTTTAACAAACAGCCTGTTTTCGGACTGTTTTCGTTAAAACCAATTAAACAGGTTTGATCTGGTTTATAAACACAGGCGACTTGTTCTCAAAGTTGTCGAAAGAAATAGATGAGAAATTAATCATCAACAAAGGGATTATACAAAACTATCTTGTTTAAGATTAGGAGAAAATTACTGAAACACTTCCTGCCGGGCTATGCGATCCGCAATCATCTTTAAATTTGCTTAGTTCCTTGCCCCCGAGTGGGGGATAGGGCCGGAGATCAATGCTCGCCATCTGTCCCTATTCT